GAGTACCGAATCTCGGGTCTCGGTACTCGACACGATGCTCAAAACTCGTACAACTGTTTCGAATCACCGAGTACTGACTACCGAGTGCCGAGACCCGAGATTCGGTACTCGGTACTCGGTAGTCAGTACTCGGTGATTCGAAACAGTTTTATGAGTTTTGAGCATCGTGTCGAGTACCGAATACCGAGTACCGAGACCCGAGATTCGGTACTCGGTACTTGGTACTCGGTAGTCAGTACTCGGTGATTCGAAACAGTTTTATGAGTTTCGAGCATCGTGTCGAGTACCAAGTCCCGAGTACCGAATTTCAGGTCTTGGCACTCGGTAGTCAGTACTTGGTGATTCGAAACAGTTTTACGAGTTTTGAGCATCGTGTCGAGTACAGAATACTGAGTACCGAGACCCGAGATTCGGTACTCGGTAGTCAGTACTCGGTGATTCGAAACAGTTTTATGAGTTTCGAGCATCGTGTCGAGTACCAAGTCCCGAGTACCGAATTTCAGGTCTTGGCACTCGGTAGTCAGTACTTGGTGATTCGAAACAGTTTTACGAGTTTTGAGCATCGTGTCGAGTACAGAATACTGAGTACCGAGACCCGAGATTCGGTACTCGGTACTTGGTACTCGGTAGTCAGTACTCGGTGATTCGAAACAGTTTTATGAGTTTCGAGCATCGTGTCGAGTACCGAGTCCCGAGTACCGAATTTCGGGTCTCGGCACTCGGTAGTCAGTACTTGGTGATTCGAAACAGTTTTACGAGTTTTGAGCATCGTGTCGAGTACAGAATACCGAGTACCGAGACCCGAGATTCGGTACTCGGTACTTGGTACTCGGTAGTCAGTACTCGGTGATTCGAAACAGTTTTATGAGTTTCGAGCATCGTGTCGAGTACCGAGTCCCGAGTACCGAATCTCGGGTCTCGGCACTCGGTAGTCAGTACTCGGTGATTCAAAACAGTTCTACGAGTTTCGAGCATTGTGTCGAGTACCGAATACCGAGTACCGAGACCCGAGATTCGAGTGCTTTCGAGTTTCAAGTTTCAAGTTTCAAATCTGTCGTCTCAAGTCCCGAGTGCCGAATTCCGGGTCTCGGGACTCGGAACTCAGTGACTCAATCAATGGACTGGCAGAGGTTACATTCATTGAAAACTTGTATATACATCTATCACTATGCAATTATGTAGCCATGTCAACCTCCACAGAAGACTCTTCAACCTTCACCTCCACCTCAACATCCATGTTGCTGGAAGAGTCATATTCTGGGACAAGGTTGCTTGGATCACCTGGGTCCACAATTTCGCCGGATGCATCTGGATCCTCTGGATGAACAACTTGGTTGTAGTCGAACAGGAGACCCTCGATGGCAGAGGCATCCGGGAATGTCGGGGCTGCGGGTGTGGGAGCCATTGTTTCCATACTGAGATCAATCAGAGGAGGGAGTGCGGATTCTGGGGGTGACATGGTGCGGGGGCCGGATTGATCAAGCAACAAGGATGTTGCAGGGGCAGGAGTGTCGGGAAGTGGGAATGAGGGGTGCCAGTCGATGATTTCGCGCCTAAGGCCTTCATGAAGGTGTTGCAGGGTGTCAATCTTACCATCCTGCTCTGCCACACGAGCCTCCAGAAGAGCGATTCGAGCTGCGCCATCTCGAATCGCAATGGACATGGCATGGAGATCTGGCATGGGCACCCCAAGTGCTGCAGCAGGGACTGCCGACCTGGAAGACGGAAGGGCTACAAGGGAAAATGAAGGTCAGACGGTGATGAAAAACTTGGGTGACTTATGAGCTGGTGCAGGTGCAGGTGCAGGTGCAGGTGCCTTGACGGCAGTGATAGTCTTGCTGCGACCACGCGTCTGGGTCTTGGGAGTGGTCACAGCAGTGACACCAGAAGTTCCGGCCCGGCCACGAGACTGACTGCAAGTTCGGGCCCTGGACTGGGAGGCAGGGGAAGCTTTGGAGGGGGCGGGAGTTTGGGATGCGGGGGGAGCCTTGGAGGGAGTCTTGGAGGAAGCCCTGGATGGTGTTCTGGACCTCGTCTTCCAGGTAGTAGAGGAAGAACAATCGCGAGGAGGTGGGGATCCCATAGTCGCGGGGGTGCACTTGATCTTCTTTGTTGTGCAGTAGATGCACGACATACATGGAGCCCCGGTCCTCTTGTCTGGCCGAGTTGCGCAAGGCCAGTTGTGCTTGTGGCAAGCATAGCATGGGTTGTTCTGTTGGTTGTATTTGTGTATGGACACTTGAGATATTTCAAAGTACTCACCGGTCCGGGAATGAGAATGTCAACTGCAGGGATGACTGGGGGTGCCTGCACCGGAGGTTCGGGAGTGGGCTGGGAGGGCTCCACAACTGCTGTGTGACTGCCGGCAATCACCTGGTATAATGTAAGCACACACCCGAGTCCCGGACGCATAAATGACACTTACTGTGGCAGGGCCAAAGGGCTTCTTCTTGGGTACCCGGGGCGAGCGAGGTGAATCAGGCGTCCTTGCGACAATTGTGGAGAGCCGGGGAAGGACGACCTCCGGCACTCCACCCAAAGGTGGCTACACGAAAATGAGAGACAATGAAAAATGAACAAGACGACATACCTGCATAACTGAGTCTTCATCATCTTCCGACTCCACGATGGCCTTGGACTTCACAACGCGAGCAGACCTCTGACGCTTGTGACTCTTCATCGCGGATTTCGGGGGTTGGGAGGAGGGTCCAGAAATCAAGGGGGACTTCCTCTTCTTACTCCCTTCTGCCTCGGGGTCTGGGTCAGCGAAGACGGCCTTACCTTTCCCCTTGTCCCGGGACTCGGTGGTGGGGTTGGTGGAAGGGCCGGCGACATTGCCGGCAGGGATGGCTGGGGAGGGAAGGTTGACAGGAATCGGACCTGTGGATGGGGGGGGCAGCAGTTGGGAGATCGAAGGTCTGGTCGCCTAAGGCGTTCCAGGCGAGGACCTTGGGGTACCAGGCGTGCCTCAGAATGCGAGGATCGTCATACCCGATGGAGTGCCAGTCTGGCCAGACCTTGGGAACCATGTTGCGGATGCGCTGGAGCTCTTTGGAGCACGAAATGATGAGGCCGGGAATAGGACCATCCCCGGACCCATACTCCTTGGCTACATCAGACTACCAAGATGTTAGAGAAGAAAAAGCACCCAAACAAAATACATACCACAAGTGTAGCAACCTGTTTTCCCAAAGCCGAGTGGCTGGGACCCGGGGGAATCTGCCGGGCGGCACTGATGATGGCCATGATCTGGGCAGCGGATGCCTTGAGATGGGTCAAAGAGTTGTCAACTGGAGTGGACATGATGAGTGGGTTGAGAGATTTAAAGATCTTGAAATCAGATTGAAATCAGTTATCAGAAAGATGAAGTTTCAAACAAACAAGACATTTGATGGGCGATCCACAAAATCGTTTATTGTTTGTGTTTGTTTGGTCGTTGTTCAACTTTCGGCAATTGCCGGCTTTGTGTTGAACTTCGAAGTTTTTTAGATCATCAGTCAATCAGTCCACCAATTCTCCACACATGAGTGCCCATCCAGCCGTTAGATTTAATGACCCACCGGTGACCGACTATAATTCTATGGATGTGGATGACTCATCTATGGGCCGGGCATCACTAGGTATGTTGTATTCTTATCATGCCTTATCTATTCACCGGGTATCCCTTAGATGACTTAGATGACTTATACCTCGGGCCGGATGATGACATAGAATATGATTCTATGTCATCCGGACCCCCGGATGCGTCGGCTGCAATACCCGGTATGACTATACATTACTGATGACCTGGGATCACCATGCATGCTAACTTCACCCTTGAAGATCAATCACATCCGGGTCAAGCTGATGATGCCAGCTGTCTCATTGATCCAGACTTGTACCTCGGGCCTGAGGATGATGTCATTGATGTTGATGAGTTGCTGGACTCTGCTGATCCTCCCACTTTTGCTCCGGCTACCTCAGAGGTGTCTATTTCATGTGGGTCCATTCATTCTGGACCATTATGGAGACTGATCTTATCTCCCAAGCCGACAAATCATCTACCGAACTCCCTGCAGACCAGCCGGAGCTCAATATTGAGGATGTACGGTTGATGGTCCGGGAGCTCCATCCTTTCGGAAAATACCAACACCCAGAATGTGAGTATCTGAAAGCAGAGCAGTTATCTTTGAGCTAATCTTTCTGGAAGACCAATCCGTCCAAGATCGACTCCATGATTACAAACGCCGTACTGGAGGTCTTCCTGACCCTTCCATCCAACAACTAATCGAGGCCGAGCGTCCATTCCGAACTGCTTGGGCAGAAACATCCGACAAACTGAAAAAAGCTGATGCAGACCTGCAGAGGTTGCAAAGAGTTGAACAGATGAGCATTGAAATGCTCAGGGTAGTAGATTCCATGATTGAACACTTTGAAGAACAACTGACCATGTAAATTACTGCATTGCAACCTGTGAATTTTCATTGACATCCCCACATCATGTACACTACCGAATTTTTCAATACATGTCCCCGGGTGTCGAACGGGACTCGATACACGATGGTCGGGATTCGATAATTGGGACTCAACACTCGGGACTCGATAGTCGGGACTTGATGTTTGATATTCGGGAGTCGATAATCGGGACTCAACACTCGGCACTCGATTTTCGGGACTCGATGTTCGATGCTCGGGACTCGATGCTCAATAGTCGGGACTTCGGTGTTTGACGAATCTCGGGGTTCGGGACTCGAGGTTCGATAGTCGGGATTCAATGTTGTGACTCAATAGTCGGGACTCAATAGTCGGGACTCAATAGTCGGGACTCAATAGTCGGGACTCAATAATCGATATTGACTAGTGGGGACTCTGCATATCATATTAGGTCTGATATATGAAAGTTTACACATTGACATGTAAATACAAGCAGGGTAATGGCAGGCAGTGTAGTATCAGCCCATTACTTCTTTCCCCTTGCTCTCGTCACTCGAGTGCTTGTGTCCAATGGCTGCTGTGTTGACTTACTCCGGGTTTGTCCTCGCCGATGGCTCAATCACCGCTTTCCTTCCCTGCATGTTCTTCAGCGCCGGCGACCTATTGACTCGTTCTGTTGCACCATCCTCCTGAACATTGCGAGTGACTCTCGCAGTCAGCCCAGTCAGGAGGTCGCCCATTCGCGATGTCAGCAGTGCACCAGTCTTCCCTGCATTGACCGGGCGAGGCTTTGGAATTGCATGTGGGACCGCTGTCCCTTCATGTGCTGTCGAAGGACCAGGCTCTGTTCTGGGTCTCTTTTGCGGGGATCTACCTTCCTCTGTGTCATCATCAGCATCATCCTCCATGTGATGAGTGTCGTCCTCGGGATTGCTCTCTGGATCACTCTCGTGATTGGCCTCGGGATCACTGTCAGTTTCGGTCGATGAATTCCGAGGCCTTCGGATCATAACTCGTCTGGCATTATGAGTCCGATGAGAAGGTGAATTTCCGGATACAACCGAGGCTACCATGTCCCCATCTCTGTTCCTCCATGCTTTGAACAGGAATGTTGGACCTTCGCCTTTCTCCTGCCGAGCATACCAGAAATTCAGTAAGGTGGTCGTGTCCCAATGTTGCAACTTCGAAGGCTCCTTCAAGTCCACATCCGCCGGAAGATATGTCTTGCCACAAAGTCATCCTGACTTTGTACGATGGCGCTCCATGGCACAACTGCCTTGACAATCCCAGAACAGATACCTGTATAAATGCATTCAACAAATGTTCGGGTGTTGCGACGACGGACTCACGATAGTGCGATGTGAGAAATGCTCTGACGATGGCTTTCTTCTCCTCGAGTTTCGTCTCGGTGATGTCAGGAAGCACCGGCATCCCATCCCCATCAATTTCGAGTTCGAAAGCAGGCTTCCTGATTCTCTTTCGACCTCCATTCACCTGTCGCCCACCATCTCGTGCCCCAGCACCTATCATGACAAAGATCAACCAATTCATTCCAGTAGCCAGAGATCAAACACTCACCGAATTGTTCCTGCGCGTACTCCTGCCAAACTGGCTCGATGTCTCCCAGTCCTTCGTCTTCATGAAACTTTCCCCATCTCCTAATGCCTCGTTATCATCGTGCCTGCATGAAATGTATTGAGATCGAAGATCTGCGATGACAAAATTGACTTACATCCCGAACAGCACCTCTCCCTGTTCATTCTTCCATGCCGACATCACAAACACTCTCATCCCGCATTGCCTCCACATCTCCTTCGAAAAGTGCTCCATATACGCCGGTCCCTTCTTACGAGCCACTTGTGCTTGTATCTCGGGAGGAGGAAAGTTGCTGGACCATCTTGCCGTGTCTTTCGCCTTCTCCAACTCATCATCGGACAATTCAGCCATGACTCTTTTTACAGCCGCTGATAATGCTTGAACATACCGGGACCTCCTGGCT